CATGGACTTCTCATCCCCTCAGAGTGGTCTTCTTCATCCCGTCATGTAGTTCTTCCAGATGTCTCAGATATATAGAGATAACCGCCTCATATGTTACCATCACTTGCATATCGATCCGACTGCCGGTAAGCCACAGACAATTTAGTAATTTATAAAATATGAAATGATTTCCGAAAGATAAATTCTGCCTTTATCGGTCCAATTTTGAATTTTGTTTTGGAAAGCCACAGACGCATTTTATTGTTTTAATTAAATTTATTAAGAAATTTATTTTCAGTCAGTGAAGTGTTGTTGCCAAGGCCGTCACAAAGCACTAGCAGCTTAATGGTACCACAGACATTGGTTGCCACGGTCAATTTTGAATTTTGATAAAATGCCAAATGATAAGGTAGCCTTCCTTCAGTCCAATTTTGATATTTAATAAATGTTATATAAAATTTGTGTACTCGATCTTTTATTCATCAACGGCCCACTCTTAGAGCAAATTTTTATTGGCGATTTGCCTTTATTTCCAAAATAAAAATATATAAAAGTTTACAAAAAATACATTTAAACAAAGAACGTGAGACTCAGCAAATGATATAGAACAGAACAACCTAAAATGTGTGCCGTTTAATTTTTTTTTTTTAATGACCGTTTATTTAAGGTCGCCGCCGGAAAGCCCATATGGGCGACCGTACACTCAAGTCGGGCCATCCTAGAGCGTCCCGCTGAGATTTTTTCGTCGATTTTTTTCCCAGCTTTTATTGGTGGAGGAAGACCCCAGGTGCCCCTCCGGGCATTATTTTAGGCACGAGCGGGCACCCGGGTAGAACCACCGACCTTCCGTAAGCCAGCTGGATGGCTTCCTCACATGAAAGATTTCGACCCAAGTGAGGATCGAACCTACAGCGGTGAGGGACCAGTGATCTCAAGTCAGCGACCTTAACCACTCGGCCACGGAGGCCCCCTGCCGTTTAATTGATGGGCTGTAACCTTATATACTAAAGTTATAATTATTTCAAAACAACCAATATATCAACATGTTATTATTAAACATTTAGTTTCATAAATATAAATTAAGAATAATTATCAAAAGCAAAATTATTAAAGTCTTATGCCTGAAATCTTCTTTATATTGACAAATTCAATCACTAACAGTATACTTGATGCTGTGTGTAAATGTAATTCAAAATGTAACAAATTATAATTTCATGTACTACTAAAAAAGGGAAATAACAAATTTATTTACTAAGTGTCAAAAATCAGAACATTAATAGCTATTTATAGCTTTCGAATTCATGAGCAGCAGCAGAACTGCTTTCCGGTTCTCATTTATTAATATGACAGGCTGCGAATCACCGGAGGGGGAACCAATATAATAATCGAAAGGAGTTATTAAATCCGAATTTATTTTTAGCTGTAAATCGAAGGGATTAATTGATAAAATCCGGGCCCATGGACAAAAAAAAATAGCAAACACAAATAGTTTTCAATAATTAGAAATAGGGCAAATTAAGATTTTCAATGGGTCCTGAACAGATCATATCGTATAAGTAACTGAATTTTAATCACAATAATGTACATAAAAATATGTGTGACATGCAATCTCTACAATTTTCGGTTCATGGATATGTTATAATTTTAATGTATTATTAACCACAATACACATCATACATATTTATATATCTTATTACTTTTAGCCAATGTTCTATGTGACAAATCATTGAATATAAAACATAATAACAATTTATTGCAACCATTAGATATAACAAAATTTAAAAAAAATCTATCGTACGTCTGATATTGTTAGCCAACTTAATAATTTCGCCTTCTTCGGTTTACAATTGGCATTGGCATCAACTACAAGATATCACTAAAATTCATTCTTATTGATTCAATTTTTATGACACTAAATAGCAGTCGTTTGTCTGATGTTAAAAATACCTGTTTGGGGTCAAACTTTGACACCAAAGTGCGTAACGCACTTTGGGATTGAACCAAAACGTGCATAACGCACATTGCGTTTAACCCCAAAGTGCGGTGTAACAGTGCCCATATGCCCGTATAATTAGTTCCGGAAGTGTCATAATGCGATTACAAATGTAATAAGACCGTAAAGACGAAAAAAATACATGAAAATAAAAACATATATAAATCAAATAATGAATTGACAATAAAGATTCACTAGATAGTGGTAAACATTATTTCACAATAGATGTTATTCTTTGTGTTTGACAAATACAGTTATATCAGTACTTTGAAATAATTGTTGTAAATTAAATTAAACATGTTACCTCTTCGTAAATTAATTGGCAATTACTTTCTACGATACATGATAGAATGAGGACACTGAAAAATAAAATGGAAGTTATCACCTTATAAAGAATTATTTGGACAGAGATGACAATATCATAAATTATGATCCAAATGTATAGAACGATCCATTTTTGAACATATTGGTCTTTGATTCTACTTTTGACAATATTTTTAAAATAAGAAGGCTATACATAGATTGGTTTATTCAGTATTCAGCAAAACCAAGCTCTTGTAATGATTTTTGCGACGGACGCGCCCTCAGGCGCGTTCAGAGCTAAGTCATCTACACATGGGATTTCGTTGGCTACAATCGCGCAATGTGTCCTAAACCAATTAACAGCCCAAGAAATAGTACATGAATTTGATCCTTCAAAACTCCCATACTTTGTCTGGATATCTTAATGTCTTCCATATTTAGCCTTTTCAATTTCAAATTAAGTTATCCAAGTTAAAATATGAACGTATATTATTGATAAAAGCGTTGTAGTCCCGTAGTATTATTGCGCAATATGCAAATTACTGCTGAAACGATTTACCGCTGTCGAAAAAGTAGGACAGCAAATTATACTACAATAAAGGTGTAACCTCTGAGTTCCAAGACATTATTAGTAGGAAATAAATATTTCTACATTATACAAAACATTATTATTAACAAATCAAAAGTTTTTCGTGACTCTAGGATAACTCGCGCATTAATAAAAGAAGAACTATTTTCGTGACTCATACCGCGGGTTTAGCTGAATATTCAGCAGTTATTAATATATTAGATACAGTACAATGGTTAGTATAAATATCTATTTTTGAAAATGCATGTAAGAAGAGAGTTTTACAACACTTTACCGCCATGTAGTCTTTCATGGTAAGGAAGTTATAATATCAGTTCTACTTCCGATTCTTGTGGTTTGTTTACATATTTTACTAGGTCATGATATGAGTTAACCTTCGCTATTCTAAAAATAGATTCTGCTTCACCTGTTCTGATTTTTGGACAGGCGATTAGGAAGTACACATTAAACATGTAATTAATAAACCAGCGGATTACATGCAATACTTTTAGAAATTCTATACAATTGTAAGAAGCAAACAAGTTGAAAATGGAATTTAGTGTGAAGTTGAAAAGGACAACTAAACACTGTAGTGCTTAAGTGACATTTAAATTAAAATAAAAACGATGTGCTCTGGCCTCTACATCTTTACCTTGTAAATAAAAAAAATCTAAGAAATACACTATTAATTGCGGATGATTTTAACCAATTTTTTTTTAATGAGACATATCCAAGAGAAATAAAAATACAAATGACTTATATTTTATTGTCTGTATGCCCACTATGATATAACACGAAGCAATTCTAAATAGCATTCTCAAATGTATAATGTATTATGTTTGAAGTTTATTTGCCTGGATTTATTCTAGAAATATTTCGTGGATAGTTTTTCTATTTACATATCATTTCTTAGAATAAATCGATAAGGACACTGATTTACAAGTTTGACCAGAGTTTTTAAGCATAAATTTCATTCTGTATTTAAGTGCTTGAAAGTAGAAAATCTTAATTATATCAATTTGGGACACAAAATATATTGCTCTACAAATCTCGAACTTGTATAGAACAAATTTTCTCTGTTATATATTTTGTGTTTTGTTGTTTTTTTTTTTTTTTGTTTTTTTTTGTTTTTTTCTAAAAGAAGCCTTAATGTCTCTCCGGTTGCATGTCCGTCGCATTCAGTGCTGCAGCACTTTGATTAACATAAGCTATCCATGGGGAGTGATATACATTTTGACGGTCCAATTGTACATAATCACGGTGCATATCCATATCGGTACCCTCTTGAAACGGTACCCTCTCCGATCATGCACAGGCCATTCTTTGCTGAAAACAAACAATCGATGGATACTCATACAGCTTATTTTCCTTCTACTGATGAAAAGAGGTATGTCATGTGGTAAAGTAGTGTACCACGGAACACTTGAATGTTTTATTTATGTGTTGTTTTGTCATGTGCCAATTTTTCAATTACTGCAACTTCAAAATAAGCTTCATAAAATCGACATGTCATGCCTCGCTATCGCCTCGACATATTTGTCGGCTGGAATGAACGAGTTATTTGATTATATACGCACCATGCATGTTACATGTGTTCATTTATTTATCATCTTTTGACAAACTGCAGTTATTAGTCAAAAATGAACGTAAAATACATAAAATTACCCTACTTTCGGTTTGGCAGCGGCTATGTTTGAATTTTTATGTCACAGGAAACCTCTCGCTCATTTTTTTAACGCACAGGTACCCTCTAAGCACAACACATGGTTTTATTTACGTTTCATTTGTTGAACCGTTTAGTATGCTTATAAACACTATGTTTTAATAATATTTAAATAAGCGTAACTGATTTACTAGTTGTTGTTCATGTTTAATGGCACAAATTACAAAAGTTGATATGGAGGCTTGCATCTTTTAATAGTTTTATGGTGGTGGAGAAAGATCTATTTTGTCTCACGTTCAGTATTCAGGAAAATAAAGCGGCATTTAACATCAAGCTTAGGAACCGCTTAGGATTCCAACCGACTTAAGCCCCAACCAATTACACCACAAAATCAAAATGCAGCAGCATTAATTAATAAGCATTATTAGTTAGTAAATTATGCAAGCTTTTTTCCGGTTATATGACATTGTAATACATTGAACTTTGTTGTTTTTCACATGAAGCACCATAGTTATCACATTGTATTTTCTTGTTTCAGATATGTATTCATGGTAATCATATGTAGATGTTAAAGGACAGTTTTGGGAAATGGTATGTTTGTATAAAGGCGCTGAAGTAAATAGCGCATCTTTACTTTAAATCACATTTATTTTACTTAAAATATATAACGAACGCAATATGTAAATACAGAAACGATTTGATATAAAGGCCAATTCTATTCATTAGTTCACAAACTTGCGAACTTTGTCACAATTAGTTAAGAGCAAAAATCTTTATGAAAAAAAACCGCTGTTAAAAACCATTTCTTTTAAGATATGTCTGCACGCTTAGAGCATAGCGTCGTGAAAAACTGTTTGGAAAAATAATATGCTTGCATAAATCGAGCTTAAGATCATTTACTCGCTTTTTATCTCAGTTACCTGCGGATATAGAATGTACTAGATTAATAACACTTTATCTAATAGATATCTAACATGAAACTCCATTGAAGGCCCATTAATTATACCTCAGAAATGCTTTTTTGATATATCATTATTATGAGATCAATTTTAGTGTCCTGCCATACGTTACAAAGAGTGACTTACTGGCCAATTACTTAAACAATATTTTGCTTCTGTTGCTTTTGTCAATCAATTCAGTTACAGTAATTTAGTATTTTGAATTGAAGTCTAAATATTACTTTGTTACATTTTGCTCCTATTATGACAAATAACTTCACATTTAGCACTCATTTTGCCTTGGTGATATACCCTTCTAACATGCTCTAGAACTAAATTTTATAAAACTTATGTTTGCACATTCTTAAAAAGAAAAAAGCATATTTGTTTCTGAGGCATAATGTGCCTTTAAGACCAGGCAAACTGTTGGTCTTAATTAAGCGGGCTTTAACTGTGGTTGCATTTTATGTTTTAGGAATTCAACAGTTGGTTAAACATCTTTGGGTTCAAGCCATTGACTGAAAACGATTCCTCGGAAGAAAGTGACCACAACAATAACTTACTTATTCCTGACATACAAGACGTTGCTTTATCCAATGCGGTAGCTGAATCTGCAGGTGAAACAGCCGAAGTAGTGTTGGAAGAAGAGAGTGTAAATGAAGGCAAAACAGCTGTTTGTTTAGTGCTTCCGAAAGAAAGTGATGATAAATTGGAGGAGAAAGGAAGTGTAAAAAGAGTTGATGCGAGTGTTTTTGGAGTACATGGGGAAGAAAGTGTTGGCAATGTTTCTGAAGTTCACGTAGAAAGCGTTGATAAAGTTAAAGCTATTGATTTTGAATTACAGGAAGAAAGACTTGAAGAAAGGGACGACACGTTAGGTATGGATGTAGAGCCCAGAGTTACTTTTCAAGAAATAGGAGAAGTCACTGTTTCTACCAATAAAAAATCTTTTGAGTGTTCAATTTGTAATAAAACATATACTCTTAAGGCAAGTCTGAAAAGACATATGAATGTTCATAACACTGAAGGAGGGTTAAACTGTTCTGTGTGTGGAAAAACGTATTACATACTATCCGCTTTTAACCAACACAAAAAATGCATTCTACTTCACGTTACAGATGCAAAGTGTGTAGTAAAATATATGTAACTAAACTAGGCTGTAAACGCCACAAGTCTACTCTTGAAGATAAATACACATATTATTGCGAAGTGTGTGGGAAAAGTTTTAATTATAAAAGTGATTTAGTTGATCATACTGCAACGCATTACAATAGCAGACATTTTAAATGTGCAAAATGTTCTCAGACTTTCAAAGCACGCTCATGCCTTGTTCGACACAAAACAACATGTGGCATAAATAAACATATAAAATGTGAAATTTGCGAAGTATGTTCAAATCCAATAGGTACCTTAAGGAGCATAGCAGGAAGGACAAGGCATATGTGGAATTACATCAGTGTCCAATATGTGGGAAAACTTTCACACATCATAGCTCATTGTACCGTCATAAAAAGAAAGCTGGACACTACTGACATTAATAACTGATATAAACTGACGTTATATAATAAGTTAAAATGTTATTTTTAAAGGCTGCCTTTTCCTTTTTGTTCGGTTAAAGTTTCAGTTTTTTTTCTATACAAATCCTAGTTAGTTTCTTTAAGATTGTTCTTGTTCAATATTACGTTCTTTGCTTTGTTATAAAAGTACGTATAACATGATATTTTGATTATATTTTAGTGTGATTTTTATTGCAATAGTGGATATTGCACTAAATTTAAGAAACATGCAATACACATAATTATTCCGTTTTATGATAGGAATGCAATAATTTTTTACCACTCATGTTTCATTTAGTTCTTGTTTCATTACCATTTTTCAGTTAATAGGTACAGTACATCTAGAAATGTTATTTTAATTGTGTTAATGCTAGCCTTTTAGCTTACCTGATCAGCATGTGCTCAATGACAGCTATAGCTATGACATTCAGAATAATTATTTGCATAATGATTAAAATGTTTAAATTTTAATACCAGTCAGCCTAGATTTTGACCTAACGACTGTTATCAATGCCATGTGTTCTGCCTTTTTGACATTTAGACAGGTGAGCGATATAGGGCTATCTTGACCGTCTTGTATATTTTCTTTTAGATATTTCTTTAAAAAAAATCTAGCAAGTACATGTGTATTATATCCGATTTATTTGTTTTACTTGTAAGTTGATTATAATTTTAGTTCCAGTTATTATTAAAATGTCACAAGTTTAGCTGGAATATTTTTCTTTTTCTTTCTTTTTTCGTCATAAAAAATGAAGGTAGCTTATAGCTTGTTGTTTGTTCATTGAGCTGAGAACATATCAAAAGCCGTCATGCCTACTTATCTGTGCTAAATTCATATCATTTTAGATCTCAAAATTGAGGGCTACAGACGGTTGTCTGAATAGACCTTGATTGCAAGGACTGCTTCAAGTCTGGCCTGTTTATATCAGTAGGGAGAGAGTGCAAATTTACGGATTTCGAGGTTGGAGTTCAAACCCCAATTTAGCAGACTCAGCATGATTGAAGCATTACACATGACGCGCTAAAGAAGCGTCTGTTTCCTTCGAGGGTCCACTGTATTTTGCACTTGTACAACAACTTGAAAATGTACAATAGTCTTTTTCTGGATGGGGCACCCATTTTGGCTAACATGTTTGACTAAAACTCAAATACAAACAAAGAATATTAGCCCTTTATTAACGATAGGCACTTTGCATTGATTTATGCCAAATACATGTACTTCGAACGTGTCTCTCTAAAACAAATCATATGTTACGAAATCACTCCATCTCTATACCAAGTCTTCTAGTTGGTAGTAGTTTACTCTCATCGCACTTATGGTGGGCTCTTATAGGCTGGCAACCTCTCGCTACAGCGGATGGTTTTGAAACATCGGAACGCTTCGATTTTCTCTGCTTCTTGCGTCTACGATAAGACATGTCAAATGAATGATCTCTGGAAAAGGATAAATAAAAGATATCACGCTTGATACAAGAGAGTTAACAGAACCTTTGGTCGCTAAACTGAGTAACCTTTTAATTTTACTGTTTCTTTGCCTGTCTGTCTGTGTGTCTTTATTTTCTCCACCTAGTGCAGCTAGCTATCCTATATACACTATATTAACATATATGTGTGTTTGTTTGATTGGGTTTTACATCACACCGACTTAGTATAAGTCATATGGCGACTTTCCAGCTATGTAGAGGAAAACCTCAGGTGTCACTTGGTATATTATTTCAGACATGACAGGCGTCTGCGTAGAACTAATTATGTTCTGTTAGCTAGCTGGATAGCTTCTTTAGATAAAAAAATGCAAAGTCCCTGTCGGGATTCGAACCAACAGCGGTGAGGGGCAAGTGGTTTGAAGTCAACGACCTTAATCAATCCGCCACGGACGCCCAATCTACCTATATGGCTTTCTATCCAGTGAAAAGATGGAACATAGTATAATATTAAGATCAAGCTAACCTAACGATCAATGTTGATCCATCAACAATATTTTCGCTTCAAGAAGAGGTGGACGGGAAATCTGCGACATGTAACTCAGTAGCTGGATAAACGGACTTTCTCGTTGTTATGATCTTAAAAGTCCTGGAAAAGAAATTTAGGAAATAAAAACATGTACTTATTGAATCAGACTTCTGTCGGACATCTACACGCATAAGCTTTTAACGTAAAACTGTGGTGCACATTGGAAAACGTTATGGTTTTTGAATTAATAATGCAAAGGCTTTAAACAAACATGGCTTACTGTATTATAAGTAGTGTCTCAAACTGGCAACAATTTGAAATATCTGTTTTTTTCTGCCGGTTATTATTTTACTTAAAATATATCTATATTACGTCTTATTTTATACGATCTATATGATACAATGTATTAAATTTTCATTAACATGGCAATGATTGTATTTTAACAAGTTAATGTTTAAATATGCACTATGTGATTTAAAAAAAAATAGCATTATACTATATTTCTTGCCTTCTAGTTGGATCACAGCGGTAATGCTGAATTTCTGTCACAGTTGATATCAATCGGGGTATACTTATAGTTTTTGGACAACCAAGCTTCGTCGGTTCCAGATCTGACAATTCCCAAAAAAAATGTCTCATTTACTAGACTAGATATTGCCCTAGGATTATAACATTTCCCTTTTATGCTAGAGTATAACTGGAAGGATGTATCAATCCGTTGAAGGAATGATTCGAAAATAACTTTTGGAAATCCTTTGACGTACATTCCAGGTTGTGGATAATATTACATACTTTATCAGGTTTTGAATTAATGATTTTGCACCAAGAATTTTGGACTCTACGCATTTCATGACACAATCAATTGCTAGAATACCAAGCTCCCCAAATACCATAGCACTAGGAGTGGACTTAGTGACATTCATTATGAGTTTAAACTGTTTTACAATATCAATATTACCTGCACTCAACACTTCTACTACATATTACAAAATAGGAGTGACCATGGAGTCAAAAAGTTGCAATTGTAAATCTATATCAAGACAAAGAGTTCTGGATTTTAAAGCACAACAAACATAGCTTTACTAGCTTGGTCATAAACATTGTTAGTAGTTTTATTGAACTTAGCCATTAAAATTAAACTTAACACCTAATTATGTAGCTAAAGCTAAAATCCTCAACAATATCAAGTATGACATTGTTAAAGTAAAAATAAGGTGCATTTCTACATTTCCCTTTAAAAAAATACAAATTTAGTTTTGGCGGTAATTACTTGAAGGGAATTTATTTTTTTCAAAAGTAACATTGGATTGTCATTTTTCCATTTTTCTACACGAAGTATTTGGTCATATTTTGACAGAAAATTTATTACTACAAGTCATATGGAAGCATTTTGCATTTTTGTCCTAACAAATATATCCTGAAATTTGTCGTGGAGATGACCAAGCCTACTTAAACTCCGTGCTGTTTTATTAGTTCCAAGGTGTATTATTAAAGAATGTAAATGATTTTTCTTCGTTTGAGTGTATTGAATTAGAGCATAAAAGGAATAAAGGATGGCGACAGATTAACAGAAATTTCAGTGCAAAAACTTTACGTCAGTGCGTATTGTTCTCAATGCTGAAGGAGCGTGTCAATTAAAAAAGTGATAACTGTTTGTTGGATATTGTCAGTATAAATGTTGACCTTTAAAATATATGCTTTATTCTAAAAATCACGTTTTCTTTGTACGTTATCTCAAATTAGATGATTTTTTATAATACAAAGGGCAATAACTCCAAAGGGAGGGTTAGGGTTCTTATGCGCTTCAATTCTACTCATTCAGATCTATCTACCTACAAATTTTCAAGTTGATACCCTGTTTTGTCCTCGACAAAGTTCAAAGTGTAAAAAAGTGAAGGGCACTTGTAAAGGGCAAATATAAAGGGCAATAACTCGAAAATTAGGGAAGGAAGGGTTACAGTTCTTATGCACCTCACTTCTACTCATTCAGATCTATCTACCTACAAATTTTAAGTTGATATCTCTTGTACATTCTGAGTTATGTCCCGGACAAGAAATCTGCAACTGACTGTCCGACCAACCGACCGACCACCAGCTGACTCCAGTATATCCCCAGAAACTTCGTTTTTCGGGGGTATAAATACATGCAGCTTCTTTCATGAAACTGCAATTCCCATAGCTTAGAAATTTACATGAAATATTGCAAGAGTGAACCTCTACAAATTCTAATAAAATGTGCTGTTTGTGTCACAATTGGTCCCGCCCCACGCCCCCTTAATTTACATAGTAAAAATATCTTAACAGACTTTTAAAAAACTACAATACTTAGAGCTAAGGTATTTGGCATGTACTATCACCTTGTGATCCTATAAAATTTATATAGATCATATCAAAATTGTCCCCGCTCCGGGATCACTTATATGTACTTGTTAAGGAAAATACATTTATGTCTTCTTTGGGGAAGATACAATGCCAAGAGCTTAGATTTTTGGCATTAGGCATTTTGTAGCAGATATCTCTAAGTATTAAAAAATAATGCAGCTTGGGTTAGAATTACAAACCCAATGAGATCTCAATACTGACTAATTAAAAGGTGTGTCCGTGGTTAATGTCGTTAACCTCAAACCATTTGCGTCTCACTGCTGTATGTTCAAATCCCGCCAGGGATTTTAGATTCTTTCATGTGAGGAAGCTATCCAGCTAGCTAATGGAACGTCGGTGGTTCTACACAGGTGTCCGCTCGTGCCTGAAATAGTGCACGGAGGGACACCTGAGGTCTTCCTCCAATAGTAAAGCTAGAAAGTCCCAATTTAACCCCATTTATGTTGGTGCGGCGTAAAACCCAACCAAAGCAGTTAACATTCTAATTGTGACCTTCTCAAATGAGCGATCCCGGGCCATCATGTTCATCTTGTTTGATGCCACATTTGTGATACATGAACAGTTATTAAGAATATTTGATATTGTACAGGATCTAGTTATAGTTTACATTCGCACAAGTTGATGACCAATGACCTCCTTCTTGTATTTGGCTGTTTTATCATGCTAATAAAGAAGCACGCTTATTTTCATAATTTTTTTGAAATGTATTAAAAATCAAAATATTGTCATGTGAACAAAAAATGTAATTTACACATTGCAAACGGCACCTAAAATCTACGATAATTACTAAAAATAGATCAGACTTTGCAAAAATAGCCCTTACTGCGTTAGTCGCGCAGTACAAATATTGTTATAAATACTGTAAGATTAGTCATTCATTGCATGTAACATGTAAATCATTTCTTGAATTGTGAACATTATTACTCTTCTAAGAATCTTAGTACATTTATTTCAAGGTTGATTTTTTAAAAAAATATTTTGGTTCATCTGGAGGCATGTAGCTATAATTCCTTCTTTGTATCAAAGAAAGTTGAACATTTTAGTCACAGTGTCATGTGGCAGATATTAAACAAATAGCGTCATGATATTGGTCTAACAGACTTTGTTATACATTTCTATAAGAGAGAAAAGACATGAAAATGCTGTATGAACTTAACAAGAATTTTAAAAACATGTATCACATAATCTCTCAACCGTTTTAAAATATTCAAATTGATGCTAACATATAGGAACTCGTATAATGAAAAATAAACAAACAAACGTGAATACGAGTTTATTATTGGAATTTCTTAATGCTATCAATTGGAAAAAAGATTGCAACATAAAATTAAAAAAAATCGTGAATTTCCGTGAATACCATATTCGGCACCAATAAAAACGGTGCATAACTAATAGTCACATGTAGTATGTACTAAATGAGGCTGTCAATTAACATTAAGACAATTTTTTTTGCTGGTGACAGTTTTAAATGGAAAAGAACTTCATTAATAATACAAAGCTAACTTTACACTATATGTCCATTACTCTAATCTTGTTACAGTTAAAAAATACTCATATACAATATACGAGTATATGTACATGAAATGTCTGTTGCTTATTTTGCTATGTTAGTGTGGAAGTCGAAATACTTTTTTTTAACATTTTGCTACCTTTACGACATTACTGCACGTTCAGTGCTACTTTCTTCAGTTATGTTCTAAATTGATTGTTTAAAACATTATTAAACATATGTTTAACATTTCTAAATAATTAAGAAATTTTGTTTTCTAATGTACCATGAAAAATATGTCAACAGTTATTTAATGAGAAATCCAGAACAGCTTTACAGTACAGTTGTTGGGATATTTTGCATGATATAAATTAATGGTTCATTACTGAATTACTTGTTTCAAATGTTTTTTCTTTTAACCTTCTTTTTACACACAACTACTAATGAAACATTTTTACAATATAAAATATAGTCAACTCAGTTTAAATAATATAAAACTTTCCACGCTACTGTTAAATCCTTTCCGGCAATCTAAACTTCGGATTATGATGTTCTACGACTTATGCTGTATTCTGGCGTATAATGCTGCGATTCATAACAATCACGTGTTGTGTTTCGACGTGTCTTCTGAGGTCAACTTTTCTTTGGAAAGCTCGGCCGCATGTTTGACAGGGGAACGGTTTAAATCCTGTATGTTTTCTGCTATGGGTTATAAGGTTGGATGATTGACTGAAACATTTGCCGCACTGCATACATTTATGTGGCTTTTCACCTTGAAAAAGAGAGTATTTACGGAGTTAAACAATTGTTTTTCCATATTGGTACTAATTATTACAAACATTCCTTGCAAAGAAATAAACATATCAGTTAACAAGACCGGTAATAAGAATTATCACATATCCTGATATGTGTGCCGCTTTTGCGACTCTGTAATTTAAACGCCGTGCATATATTTTCACGTGACGTCATTTGCTTGGTGCAAATATAGCGTTATTAAAACACTTTAGCGCTTCAATGAAAAAATGATACTTTATTATTTACTGTAATGAATATGTGATAAATAGAACATTATATTCGTGTAGGTTTATTTCTAAAAAAATTGAACATGATGACATAAATAATATTATTCTCGCCAGAGGCCCGCATAAATTAATTTTAATTCAACTCATTCGATAAATTCAGTATTGATCATACACTCATTCAATATCTTTTATATATGACATGGTTCTGTATATCATTTTATTATGACAAGGTAATAAACAGTCTATTTACATAACACTCATGCCAGTTATAATCCATTTATCTAGTATTTATCGTTATAATTAATATAATAATCGTTAATTGTTAATTGATAAACTCCGTCAATAATAGCACAATGATGATACTATGAATAGTAACAGTCAATGATAGCAAAGTGATCATATATAAAGTAATTGTAAATTAATGAATGCAAAGCAATGGTATATTTCAAAATTTACTTTATTAGTTATATAGTAAAAACTATGATAGCTGCGAAGCTTTTCGAACTAATTTTGTTTTCAATTATGCAAAAATTGTGGCGCCATCTACTGCGTTCATTAACATTAAAGGGCACCTCCTTTATAATGATCACTTCGCTATCAGAACAGAATCTGTTCAGAAATGTCACACGTCTCCAATGAACGATCACCAAATCGCCAATCCAATTCTATCAGATTTCCTAATAGAAACAATTGATTGAACTGGTTACAAATATTTTCAAAGGGAAAGCAAAACTATATATGTAAATGTTAAGCGTTATGATGGGGGCAATAATACAAAGGTCAACCAAATCTTGATCGCTGTTCTGAAATGCCAACGTCCCAATATAGCTGCTCCTGTTCCCTGGACGCCTTTTTCATTATAACAAATAGCCTTGGCTCAGGAAATCATGATAACAAAGCTGTTTGATATTAAACTATAATTTTGTTGATGAGTATTGTTAACTGTTAAAATATGTATGTGAAAATTTGGGGAAAATATTCATTAATCTATTTACAAACTAGAAACAAAAATGCGTTCAAGCATTTTAGTTTCATGAAGGAAACGGTAAAAAGTCACAGAACACTAAGATCACGATTTTTAAGTTTAAAAAAAAGTTTTCATTAAAATCAAAAAGTATTTGAAAAATATTCATATAAATTATAAGCAGAAAATCTCCATTATCTATGAAAAAACGGATTTAGATATTAAGCACCGACAAATAAGTTATTTTTTGCAAGGCAAAAACCTACCAGTGTGAATGTACGTGTGTTTCTTCATATCCGACTTTTGATGGAATCTTTTGCCGCAGTACATGCAAGGGAATGGCCGTGTATCACTATGTATCAGAAGATGGGTTGCCAAGGTAGATGATCGCTTAAATGTCTTGCCACATTGTTTGCAAGAAAATACACGCTCGAGCGTATGCACGACCCTGTGTTGATCTAGGCTTACTTCGTGACCAAATGTCTTGCTGCAAATATCACAAGTAAACGGCCGGGATCCAGTATGCGTTCGACGCACGTGAACTTCCAATCCATGTGCAGAAGTGAAAATTTTATCACAGTTGGCGCATGTGAAATTTCCCATCGACAAATCAATGGCACCTTCTTGAAGTTTGCAAGTTAGGTTGTTTTCGTTTAATCTCATTGTTTTACACGCATTAACATCCTGATACATATTTCTATACTGGTAATTTGCAGCCAGAAAATAAGTTTGAGATAAAAGAAAGTTGTTAAGAAGATACTTAGTATCCGGTCTAAGAGATTGCGTCAGCAGGCTTGGACAGAATAAGCTTGAGTATTGTGCGACGTTCTCGGCAAAACTTCCAATTTCTGAAGAAAAAAAAAATATTTTGAACTTTTCAAATGAATCGTGTACCCAGCGATGGTAAAAAAAGTGAATCAGTGATGTCAAGATGTGGTGAAGCTGCGTGATTAATTACTAGTATACGTTTTCTGTACCGTAGCCTACCAATTTACATTTAAAACTGGTTTATTAAGTTGCCAAATAAGTCACTTCATTCCAACAATATAATCATAAAAAATGAATAATTATTACAATTGATACTCTCTCATTCGTTAAACGACAAAAACAGTTTCGTAATTTAAATAGTTACCGCGAGAAAAACCGTAGCCTTAAGTAGAGTTTTGTACCAATTCTTTATCAATTATGCCCATAAAAAGGACTATTTGCCAATACTAAAGGTTTCAAGTTACTGTTTGATAAATCACGTGAAAATCTTTTTAATATTTGCTTTAAATTTCACATAATTTGCACTCGTATCATTAATTGATCAAATTAATATATTTGCCTTCTCGCGAGATTATTTGGTTGTTTCCGTACATGGTATTTGTAGTACCATTCATGTGAGAGAGCTATTACATAGTTTTATTTGAAGTCTAATTTTGCATTTATCACAATCGAAATGCACTTGACTTAGATGTTCTTGCAAACCTAATATAAAACATTATCTTTTGTATGGGATCATGTTTTTTAAAATAAATTGATATGTAAGTTCGACTGAATACAACAGTAGTAGTATTTAAAACACTTTTTTAATATCTGCATTTCATAAATCAACAATAAATAAATAGAGGATATTCAAGTTTTTTCTGTAAATACATGATTTATTTTCATCTAGTGGTATGAAAATAAATATTTCATGAGTGGCGGTAGCCACGAGTGAAATATATTAATTTTCATACCACTCGATGAAAATAAATCATGGATTTACAGAAAAAACTTGAATTTTCTGTTTATTATATACATTTTACTCTCTTTTGACATTACAATTTGAAAGACTTTCCCTTAAATGTTGTGTACTGGCAGAATTTAGAAGAAAGTAGTCCGTCAAGACACCAGTGAAAATACGGAAAATATGTTTCACCGCAGTGAAAAAACAATGTTTACAGTGAAAATACGGAAAATGAAAATACGCATTTTATTTTATCAATATTTCTCAATATTTCATCTACAAGTATATAATAAAACGTTTTTCTATTTCCAAGACTTATGTGCACAATTCACCTGTTTATTCATTATTTATTCAAAAATGAAAATTTCCGTTGCATGACATTGTAGTGCTTGGAGACCACATTTCGGAATAAGTTATATAGACTTTAGACATTACACGCATTGTTTGCATAAAAATGCTCACCTATGATAAAATTATATGAAAATATATTCGTACTCTTGTTTAGATTTATGACTTTGATAAATATCACGATGAAATACTATAACAAAAAAAGTTATTTTCTTGGCATTCGTTAGACACGAATTAGTTCTGTCAGCAGATGTATTTAAATATCTAATCTTAATGCATTTATTTATAAATTTAAAATCAAAAACGCTAATTTAAATTTGCCGTAGCTTTCGGCCTTGCGGCCTTTAAATAATTGTATGAGAAAAAAATGAAGATCTATACAAAATTTAAAATCTTTTTGTATTTATAAATATTCTGGTATGTAAAGGTTAGATATTTTCATTCATTCATCCGAAAATATCAAAAACGCATATATTAAAATTTTGTGAAATATTGAAAATATTCGACTGAAGATATGTAAAGAAAGTATTTATTTAAGGCATTAAATTATTTGCCAAACTTAAAGAGTTTGAAGAACTGTTTAGATGACCTCACACAATACATCATTGTTAACGTAAAAAAGATTTCGAGGAATTTGACACGAAGTGTTTTTAAACTAATTTATGGATGCGCACTTCACTAAATCTAAGTAATATAGCTTATGTGGAAAAAATAATGTACGATGTACCGAAAGCCTCTTTATGGATTACATAAGACCATTACTCAAAGGGAAAATAAGATTATTACGAAGAATGTTTATATTGTTTTAAAGTGTGCTTTATTTCATTTAATGACCCTTGAGCTGTATGTGAATCAGCTTTTTGCGAACAACTTTGTAATAGATTTTACACACAAATAATATGATTTAAAACTTACTTGTAGCTGATTGTGTGGAGTTCGTCGCCCAAGGTCTGAAAGCTGTAAAAATATTTTTGGTTGAACTCGTTTCCGAGTTAGGACTGACACAGGTTTCTTCACATCTCGAATGTGCTGGTGTCTGACAGCTTACCATTGAGTCTTCGTTTTCTGAAGTAGTTGGGGATTGTGAACATTTGTTGTTTTCATCACGTTTTATCTGGACATAATGATCACTAACTATATCTATATTATTCGAACTCGTACTTGGTACAGGACTCAAGCAATCATCTGTACGCCTGGATTCTATTATTTTATATGCATTACTTGTAACTGACTTGCGAATGTCGTTGCTTGTACATAATAAAGGCTGGCTGTCTGTCGTCCACATCGGAAATCGTTTGTAAAATGCCGGATGAATAAAGTCCTTCTCATTTAGACTACCTGAACTATTAATTTGTGCCGACAGAATAGAATCTGAAGTATATAATATGTACAATTTATGTCATAAATTATTACACTTTTAGTAATTCCGTCTCTTTTCAGATACATAAATATTTAAATTACTTACGACTTTTTATCCACTAAGAACATACCATTTTCCGACTTTTTATCCACTAAGAACATACCATTTTCAGAGTGCCCTTGCTACCAGGCAACTATTATGTATATTATTTTTTATTAAGTTTAAGTAATATTTTTATATTGGAAACTATTGAATTATTTTGTTTAGGATTAAATACTTTGTACATATTCGTTAAATACTTCGTACATATTCGTTTAAAACAATATAAAATCAAACAGATTGAAGAAAGAAGAAGAAAAATTACCCCCTCTCCCATAAAAAAAAACAACAACAAAAAAACCAACAAAAAAAAAATAATAAAAAGACAACAAACAAAACAAACGTGTTCCTTACCGTATTTTGAAGCTCTTACAAGCTGAAAAGCACTATATTTTTCCATTTTAGTTTATAAATGATCTGGGCACCGCCGCTTTAAATATATAAAACGTACTTTCTGCATATGTTTGATGTTTGCAAATTTTCTGCGCGATCCGGTCGTGTGCCGATATTTATAAGTTGTCATTTTGGTAATAAGTCATAAGCGTGGCGCGTGCTATTAATCGAAACTATCCAATTAAAACGTCGGCCGGCTGAACGGGGCGGTTCTTATATTTCTTGCTACAAACTGATCTTTATTTGCTATGTAAATACAAAAAAGAATGCGGAATACGCAGCTGTTCGCCAATAAAAAAGTAACAGTATAGTAGCAGAATGAAAACAGACATTAACTATTATACTTTAATGTAGGTTTCTAATAACTTTTATAATAACTTATAATAATAATAATAATAATAATATTCTGGTATGTAAAGGTTAGATATTTTCATTCATTCACCCGACTGACACTCATATTAGTAAGTATAGATAAACTTGTCATGATTTAAAAAAAAGAAGAAGAAAAAAGATGATATCAACATTTACAACAATTAAAATATAAAGTGATCAATTTTCTAACTGTTAACTTAGAATATAAATTTTACAGTTGTTTTTGAAAGATTGTAAAGTCGATCATTGTTTGATAGTAATAGGTAATTTATTCCAAGCGTCAATACTGAAATAAGAAAAAGAATCCTTTAAATAATTTGTACGAGGTACATGAGTATACTTTTCAGAACAAGATCTTTATGAGCGATTGAGCGTGATTTATGTAATTCATTGTGAGAGAAACTAAAAATTTCACTCATATATAACTGTGCCAGATTGTTTAAAGATTTATACCCCATATTTGCTGTGTGGTATTTCATGTACATTTTTATACATATGTTATAATATCTTTATTTTCATGCATTACAGGGTGAATAATAAATAAAAAATAGACGTGCTAGTCGTATACTAGCATTACAAATATATCACTCTTATACTTTAAACATTTAAGTTGTGTATTTCAAACACATTACATGTTTTCGTATTCCTTAAACATATAAGTCTTACATTCTAAACATTTTAAACATGTTAGTCGTATAGTTCAAAATAAACTTATCATTTATTTTAAACAAATAAGACAGATATTACAAACATTTATTCAAGCCGGATGCTTCAAATATTGAAGTTGTTTATTCAAAACATATCATTCATATAATTCAAACCTGTCGGTCATATATTTCAAACATTTAGTGTTTTAGTCATATATTCCAAACATTTCAGTTGTATATTTCAAACGAATTAGTCGGACATTTCATACATATAATTCGTATTTTTCAAACATATAAGTTGTATATTTTCAGCATTATAAACATATTTTTCAAACATATAAGAGTATATTCTAAACATGTATCTCTTATATTTTGAACACATTAAGTGTACATTCAGTCAAAGATATTTGCCGTATAATTCAAATATATAAGTCGTAAATTTCAAAGGAGTTAGTTGTATATTTTAATCATGTAAGTCGTATATTTTGCCTTTTGTTTGAACAGATGAGTATGAGGGATAGAACCGAATAGAATCCCTTCCTGGAGGCAGTTCACCGAATAACCGATTTAAATCACCACAAGAAGTTGCTCCATCGAACTGAATTAAACCCCTCATCAGAAGCCCTTTCATCATACAACAAACTTAAATCCCTTATAGTCGTCGCATCAGCATTAAACCAAATAAGAAAACAAGAAGTTTGTCTAGAGTAACAGTTTATTTTGAGATACACAATTTTAGTTATAGTTTGTTTAGAGATACATGATTTTAGTTATAGTTTGTTTTGAGATACATGATTTTAGTTATAGTTTGTTTTGAGATACATGATTTTAGTTATAGTTTGTTTAGAGAAACACAATTTTAGTTACAGTTTGTTTAGATAAACATGATTTTAGTTATAGTTTGTTTAGAGAAACACAATTTTAGTTATAGTTTGTTTAGATAAACATTATTTTAGTTATAGTTTGTTTAGAGAAACACAATTTTAGTTACAGTTTGTTTAGATAAACATGATTTTAGTTATAGTTTGTTTAGAGAAACACAATTTTAGTTACAGTTTGTTTAGATAAACATGATTTTAGTTATAGTTTGTTTAGAGAAACACAATTTTAGTTACAGTTTGTTTAGATAAACATGATTTTAGTTATAGTTTGTTTAGAGAAACACAAGTTTAGTTATAGTTTGTTTAGATATACACAGGTTTAGTTACAGTTTTTTCAAGATATACACAATGTTAGATACAGTTTGTTGAGACATACACAATTTTAGTTATAGTTTGTTGGAGATACACAATTTTAGTTAAAGTTTGTTTAGAGATATACAATTTTAGTTATAGTTTGTTTAGATATACACAATTTTAGTTTTAGTTTGTTTAAAGATACACATTTTTAGTTATAGTTTGTTTAGATACACAAAGCATGGTTTTAGTTACAGTTTGTTAAGAGATACACAGGTTTAGTTATAGTTTGTATTGAGAGACTTTTAGATATACATGGTTTTAGTTACAGTTTGTTAAGAGATATACAAGTTTAGTTATAGTTTGTATTGAGAGACATTGTTTAAATTGTAGTTTGTTTTGAGATATGTGATTTTAGTTTTAGTTTGTGATGAGCTGTACCATTTAAGTAAATTGATTTATTTGATTTTCTTTGTATAAAATACATTACACATGGCTTAATTTAGAGTTTGTACAATGCAAATCTAAATACAATATTTACAAAATATTTCAAAGTCTTTAATGATGTTATTCCCTTAAAGAGCTGTGACAATCTTTCACTAGCTGCTGGAATTGCGACATACGGAGTCCATTTTTAAGGGAAATCGATTTTTCTATTATAATGATAACATTTGTGTGTGTGCGTGTGTGTGTGTGGAAATTCTGATTTTAACACCCCACCATGAGTCGAATCAGCAAACAACCAAATAAAATCCCTTCAAGGTGTCGCTTCAACATACTCATGATCCTACCAAATTAAATTTACATTGTTTCTGATCGTAGTTTGTTCGACCAGGTATAGGTATTGATGTATATTCATGTATATATGTCGTACCGACATGTGATTGCCAGTTCTAAAATATCCTAATAATGTACATAACATAACATAACATAACATATTTAATTGAAATGTCAAATGAAAAATTATATCTTAATTTGAAGATAAAGTGTAAGATTAGTTAATGACTTTAACCGAGACGATCGGAATGTTTATGATGCTTATAGTCTGCATAATCGTCAGAGTATTCGTCTTCAAATATTTATTTTAGCCACCATAGATAATTTTTAGTTAAAGACGTGTACCTTTGTTTGTTGTTCCACTTGAGATCTTTTCGGTCCGGAAAATACACTTAATATAGAGCAATTTAAAAACGTTTACCGTAAATAAATAAAACCAACGAACTTTGACATAATATCTGAAGCTGTTTTCTCAAAGCATTGATTTTACATTTCTTTGATTTGAGCGGCAGGACCCGCTTCTAGAGAACCGTCAACAAAACATTTGATACAGGTATTCTATAAGGGCATAGACTGCTAACTGCGAAGGAAGGGCCGGTACACAGAGGGTTAGCTTTGTAAACATTTCTCCCTATTGACGACGTATTGATATATTTATTGACAAACATTGGGTTAGTTAAATAAATGTGCGAACCAGGCACGTGTGCAGCTTCCGTTAATTTGTAACAACGTATACGGAGATTTTTAAGCGATTATTTCAAATAAATAGAATGTTATACAATATTGGTGAATCAATCTTTTTTGTATTATGAATTAAAAATAAATATATTTAAAAATTATTCAAAATGATTTTCATTTTTTTTATAAGCGAACCCTCCCTTTCCTCCTCCGTGTCGGTTTCAAACAATTTATCTGACATTATTTGACATCATGTTAGATGTAAGTAACTAACGTTTAGAATTTTATGAATTTATCATTTATTAGCTTGGATAAAAACGGGTATTATATGTGAACCTAACTAAATAATATACACTATAAGGTGACTGAAAAGTATTTAGAAATATACATATTCTAGTTCTGAATTACGAAAGATAATCAGCCGGCATTACTATAGTGTTCAACAACAACAACAACGACAACAGCAACAACAAAAATACATTGAGATAGGATTTCATATTTTGGTCCGAAGCTCTTCCCCTCTTCATCTTTGACACTTATTACAAACACTTGTTATTTAAACATAAAAATACTCAAGTGTATATAATTGTAACATGGTAGCTACAAATGTATATGCATTTGATAAATGATTCATATACTAAAAAGTATATCTATATAATAAACAAAATGATATAAATATGCTAATGAAAAGTACAGAAACATATCCCTTATACTTATACAATTTTAATACAAATCTGTAACTTTTATGATAAGATATAACTATAGCAGACAGACAGACAGACAGACAGACAGACAGACAGGACAGACAGACAGAAAATACAATAAAATAGCAATACATAACTGAATGTTTGAGATATAATGTATATGTCTCACACGTATTTAAATAACAGCGAATACCTGATGAATGAAAGTATCTAAATAAGTGTTCCTTAAATGTCTATCAAGATACATTCTTGGGCAGTTATTTTTTTCTAATTTTCTCAGATATAGGCAAACTTATGTTAATTATACTAGAATTATTTCCAAATCTTATATTTATTGCTGCCTTTAAATGGGAAAAACACGATGTATTGAATGTTAAATCGAAGGTACTAGTATACATGTTAAATCACCTGGTATATGAAACTTAAATATAAAACGTAATTACTAGTACATCGACTGATTATCTTCCGTAATTCAGAAGTAGAAAGTATAAAGGAGGGAATATAGATAAATGTTAGATTATATTCAAACTGGATGGTTGGTGGCTGTACATTTCATAGGAAAGATTTGTAAGATAACGCGACCACGAAATTATTCCCTACTGCTTATCTCATACAAAATTGCCCAGCTATTTTCGCACAGATGAAAGTACAAGTTATTCATTCAAAAATTCATCAAAAAGTGTTGGAGATTTGAACCTTCAAGAACTAAAAGTAGCTGAACTAAACAAAAAGTTACCCGAAAGAAAATAGAGAGTTTACTCATT